GTCTGCGAACACACTTAAGGTCAAACGAATTGTAGAAACTCGATTGAACCGATAATGGGTGACTTCGCACTAAAAACACCTATTGCATTGGTGGCTTTTTTTTACGGTGGGCTTGCCGTATGACGAAGTTCGAAGCTGTCACACATTCTGATGAGCCTTTACAAAAGCTCAAACTTTTTTGTGACGCGTACCGTCCGCCCCCTTTTTTCTAAAGGTCTGCTTTTGAAGAACAAAGAGCGGGTTTGTGAAAATAGAAGAATCAAAGAAAGAGTAAAAACACTTAGGGACAAGAACGGAGACAGACGACACAGTTCTTTTAATTCAACGAGCATTTACCCTGTTGTCTCCCTCAATACTTACATTCTCCCTCCCAACTTATTAAACTGAAGAAGATGATACATGAAAAAACACCCGGTGAAAGAAGAAAACTCCGAAATAAAAGGTTTTCGGGGCTTTCTCGTTTTTTTCTTCGGGTGTTTTTTTCTTGAGGGTTTTCTTCATTTTCCGCGTGTCTTTTTTAGGGATGTCGCGAACCACCCTAGGTTCGATTTCGAAAGGTTTCGATATTTGCGAAGCGAACTGAGGTTCGATTTCGAAAAATTTCGATATTTTCGTACCGACCGAGGTTCGATTTCGAAAATTTCGCAACTTTTGACCACAGCGGAGTTTCGAATTCGAAAATTTCGAAGCTTTTACGGTTTCTAAAATTTCGAATTCGAATATTTCGAATATTTTTTTACTTCAGGTTCGATAAATTCGAAGATTTCGAAATTCTATGTAAAAAAAATTCGAAAACTTCGAACGCTTCGAATTTTTATAGACATGAAGTTCGAACAATTCGAAGATTTCGAATTTTTTTTGCGTAAAGTTCGAAAAGTTCGAAGGTTTCGATTCTCTTTTAACGCTAAATTAAAAAAAAAAAAAAAAAAAACTTCGAAGATTTTGAATTTCTTTCTAATCCAAGTTTTTAAAGTTCGAAGTCCGATTTTCAAGTTTTTCCACAGTTTCAGTTTCAAATAACGTTTTCACGACTCACTTGTTTTCACAAAATCAAGTTTAGAAAAGTTAGGGTGTGATATCTAGATTCTGCGAAGTTGGTCAGGCAATTAAATGAGACGATGAGTGTCCCGGACGTGCTAGAATATTTGCCAGTGCAGAATTGTGACCGCCAGACCCGGGGGGGGGGGGGGGGGGTCTTTAACCTGCATCACGCAGTAGTGATTGCACGAACACACTGTTTTACGAGACTCATCCAGTTCGAAACGGCCAGGGGCGAGCAGGAGGTTGAGGCTCAGAAAAACCTTGAAGCGACCTGGCAAACTAGCTCGCCACTCCTTGCACGCTGGTAGTAATCCGATCCGGTGAAGTTTGTAATTGTCCTTTAGGTTTATTTTCTGGGACGGAGGAATCGCCTCGCAAAAAGCACAAAAGCCGACACAACTCGAGGTCGAGGAGCGTTCTACCATGCAGGTGGCGTCGGAAGAGGAAAAACGGGGGAAAAGAGGGTAGCCGGGGGGGGGGGGGGGGGGGGGGGCCCGTAGAGCACTGCACGGGCCCGGGCCAGCCCGAAAGCCCGAGCCCGGCCCGGCCCTCGGGCCGGGCTCGGGCCGGGTAGCACGTATTTTCTCGGGCCCGGGCCGGGCTCGGGCTTGAACAAAAAAGTTCTCGGGCCGCGCCGGCCCGGGCCGGCCCGGGCCGTGCCTGGGCAATTTTGTGCCGTAAATCATAAATTGTTGTTGATAGCAAGACGTTTGCTCATTCATTTTTTAGGTTCATCGAACACAAAAAAAAAGCGAAGTGCAAATTCACTACAGCGTCGTTAAAAATAATAACTAAAAGACGTCTCGAAGCTAGAAAGCCTTCAAGCTTTTTCCGTGTGAGCGAGGGTTCAGTGTTATAAATTGTAAGCACAATAAAGTCCCAGTCATATGCTTGTCAACCTGTCTGATTCATCGCTCTCAAAAATATCTAGTTCACTATTATGAAGATTTAGAAAAACGTACGCAAGCGCTTTGGGTACCGTAAAAATAGTGTTGCGATGTAAAACCTATGGCGATGCTAATTTTAGCTTGCCCAAAGTACTTGAGTACGTTATTCTAAGACTCCCTTATTGCACAGAGCGCGACACTATATTAGCGAGAACAAGCGATAGTCGTGTTTTTATGTTTATCTCATATAATCAAAAGGCTGTTTTCAAAACTATTAGTGTCTTTAGAAGTGCTCATCTGGGCCACAGACCTAAGCGGTATACTTTGGTGCCTACTAACACTATTTCGAAGTAAAATTAAAAAAAAAAAGAGCCAACGTCGTGTTCGCGGTATCAGTGTCGCGCAGTGTACATAGTCCGTTTCGCGCTTGCACGTTTTGGGAACCATCTTGAAAAAAACGTTTTAAGGGGTTAAGTAGGAATATATTAAACTTAAGCTTGCCTGAAAGGGTTGTATATTTTAAGAACGCGTTGACATGTAAAACTACTTCAGATCATATGCTTAAACAGAAAGGGTGCGCAGACCACTGCAGGCTTAGAACGATGGAGACTTTTTCCGAAGAGGTTGCGATGTGCAGGGCCTTATAAAAGTAGATTGAAATGGGACGTGTTCAAACGCAAAGGTTGTTTCGGAAACTGGTTCAAATAAGAAGGGCGTTTAGGGAATGGGTTGAAACAGGACATATTCAAACGAGAAGGGCGTTTAGGGAACTGGTCGAAACGGGACGGGTTCATATGGGAAGGGCGTTTAGGGAACTGGTCGAAACGGGACGGGTTCATATGGGAAGGGCGTTTAAAGAATGGGTCGAAACATGGACGGGTTCAAATGGGGAGCTCGTTTCGGGGACGGGTCGAAACGAGACCAGTTCAAACGGGAATGGGTTGTTTCGGGCTACAACCATCGGGCCGGGTCGGGCGGGGCCTAGAAATTAAAAATTCTGTCGGGCTCGGGCCGGGCCCGGGCCGTGTCTCTTCCGGGCCGGGTCGGGCCGGGCCTAGAAATTAAAAATTTTGTCGGGCTCGGGCCGGGCCCGGGCCGTGTCTCTACCGGGCCGGGTCGGGCCGGGCCTAGAAATTCCGGCCCGTGCAGTGCTCTAGGGGGGGGGGGGGGGGGGGAAGGCTTCAGCCTTTTTTCCCCCCTTGCAGGTATTTCGGACTGTTAAGGAAAACAATACGGGGAAAGAGGGCGTGGTCGAGCTTATTTTAATCTGAAATTATTTATGCATATGTGTAGCTACTGTCGCTCTTCACTGCATAAAAGGTTGCGTAGATGGTTATTGTTAGAAACTCGTTGTCAGAAGGCACTGCTCGTCACACGCTTAGTGGTTCGGAAGTTCAAAGCTGTCTTTTCAACCTAAACACCTGTGCCAATAGTAAAAAAAAAAAAAAAAAAATAATAAATAAAAAAATAAATAAATAAATGCGGGAATAAAAAGCAGGAGAAAAAAAAAACTATCAAGAATTCGTCGGAAGTGTTCTATTCTTGCATATTCAGAGGTTCAGAACTTCGAAACAAGTTTCTTTTACCAAAATGTGTACAGGCTAAAAGAAACACGTCCCAGAAACGTGAAGCGAAAAAAAGAAAAAAAAGTTTTCTTTTAATGACGTGCTGAACTTGAACACTATTAGAAATCTTCTCCCATGAGTTAATTTATTCCTTAACGTGAAAAAACAATAAATATATTATTTTGTATTCTGCAGATGGCAACGATATGTACTGTCTGTGGTGTTAATTTAAATGCAATACCTCAAACAACTTAGACGAAAATAAATATCAAGTTTAGGTCATAATTGCATGCAGATACATGTTTGGACATTTCTTCGAAACTCACGTTGAATAACAATAATCGCATCTTAAGACGGCACTTACCTAGGCTATACATAGATCATTCTTAAAAAAAGTATAACATATCTACCATAAATAGCTCCGGCTGCAGCGTGCTTCAAATCTGGCACAAACGATAATCGTCAAAAACCCGTCGTCCTTCCTCGCCCCTTCGGGGATTTATTTCTTTAAACCTAAGCATGCCAGAACATTGAAATAAACGACATTGTCTTTCGTAAGGAACGCAGCACCGCGTGTAAAAGTTCGAGAAAAAAAATTACGAATGTACCCCACTACTTGAAATCAAATGAAACCGTCCGCCGGTCTTTCGAAGTTCGACGAACGTCGAACTTTTACCCTAAAAGTTCGAAGCTCGTCGAACTTCTGACTTTTCAGAATTCGAAAGTTCGAAACTTTTCGAATTCTCTTGATAAATAAGTTCGAAAGTTCGAAATTCATCGAATTTTTTGGTCAGTCAAGTTCGAAAGTTCGACAAGCATCGAACCTTGCAGCGCAATAAGTTCGAAAGTTCGAAAAAGATCGAATTTTTTAGCGTAATAAGTTCGACGGTTCGAAAAGCGTCGAACTTCTTAGCTTAACAAGTTCGAAAATTCGACCTCCGTCGAATTTTACGATATAGACAATTCGAAAAATCGAAATCTTTCGAACCTTTCGAACCGCTTGATTCGATCATCGAAACTTCGATTCGAAAAAAGTTCGCGGCATCCCTAGTCTTTTTCGTGTATCTTCTTGAATTTAATAAGTTGGGAGGGAGAATGTATGTATTGAAGGAGACATCAGGGGAAATGCTCGTTGAGTTGAAAGAACTGTGCCGTCTGTCTCTGCCCTTGTCCCTAAGTGTTTTGGATATTTCTTTGATTATCGTACGGTTTCCGACAATGAATGAACGTTCGACGATTGACAACATATCTAGGAATTAATGGCCCATCTGGATGACGAAAAAACCTGCGTTCTACCATCGATCAGATATCGGAGTGGGTTAACATTGTGTCAGCGGGCAACACTCTGACCCCAGCATAAAAATCCCGACATGCGACCTGACGATTGGGCGCCAGCCGGAGATCGGCAGGGGCCCGATCGCAAAGACACACACACGGTGATCGAAGAGCGAAAATATGATGAGCACGCGAAGGAGAAGCGGTGTCGGCAAGTTCGTCATCCACCAACCAGAAAGCAACGTCTGCGGGGGCTGCGGCTGCTGTGCAGAGGACGCTTTGTTGACGGGCGAGCAAGTGTAAGCCCCCTCCGTGGTGGCGCTCCGTATAAGGGGTCCGTGGCTGTGCGGTAGCTGCAGCGAAGCCGCCTCGAACGTCACCCGAGGAACCGAGCACGAGCGAGGCCTCAGGTGGCACAGGTCGCTGACTCCACCGCCGGTGCCACTCGCACCGTCGCTGTACAGACCCCCGGAGCCCACCTGGAACAAGCCGCCGACATGGTCAACCCGATGAGCTCTGCTACGTCTCTGCGTCGCGAGAGCGGATGCCGTGATGCTTGAATTCGCATTAAAAATAATCGAGTGTTTTAATCAAATTCAAAACAGCTTCAGCTTCCCTTTAAACCAACACCGTCAAAGTGGACAGCCTGACACTCATCTTATCATCATTAATCAACGTAGAAAAGACGTCATAGTGAGCCTTTTCCCAATCGTGAAAAGTCGACCAGAGCAACGCTTTTGGTCGCGCACGTCGGTGGCCGGGTGGGTTAGCTCACACCAGCTCGCGAGCTCGTTGAGCGAAAGCTCGCGCTGCAGAACCCAGAGATCTTGGGTTCAATCCCCACCCTTGCCCATTTCGATCTGAACAAGCGTCGTACCGGCGTGTGGTCGTGTATCATTACTGCGTGATGAGCGTTAAAGACCCCAGGCTAGCAGTTGTACTGCACCGGCTAAATTACTCATATACAGCTGAGAGACAGGTCGCCCGTTGAGGCAGACCAAGTTCAGGCTGTATAAACCTACCCACTCACCAATTGTTTGTTGCGGTTTTGCATTCCAAGTTTTCCTGCCTCTATTGAAAGTTTCCCCTTTAGTTTTCATATGCATGCATGCTGTGTACTAGTTTTGTGTAATCTTCCACTGTGAGAAATAGGGCTGTAAGTGCCTGCCATTGAAGCGTTTCTGCTCGACATTCCTGGGAACCGAAGAAAGGGAATAACGTCGAACGGCCCTCGACGCGATTTTTCCGAACAATGACAACTATTCTCTCCACTCCCAGAAATAATTCGTGCCACAAATAGAATACTTCTCAGTCATCGCCCAAAATAGCTGTCCGAGTTGGGGTGGGGAACGCATCAGTTGCGTTCGTTATTTGCCTTGATGGTGGTGTTGTGAAAAGAACAACAAAAACAACAACAAACAAGCGTGGACTAAAACGAGGTTTTTCTAGGATTCCGTCCAATCAAGATGTGACTGTTGTAGGCACTATAGTATTGTAGTATTTGAAATCTTTCTCAAGTAAATGATTTTCGGATAACGCTGCACCATGTGGAGCGTACAATATATTTTTTGAATGTTAACACTCGCTAAATTGTATGTCCGAGTCCTGTCGTGTACATCAGTAAACACGTTATTTGTGATTGTGAACATAGTTTACAACAGGCTCTCTTCTGTTTTAAATTATGTTCGACAGCCAAGGTCTTTGCCGATTCACTCGGTTGAGCGGGCGGCGCCGTCAAAACTCATCGTAAAATAATACCAACATTCCAGTCGAATTCCTTCTGTTGCGCGCGCACCCAAAAAAAATCGTGTTTTTTTTTTTTTCAAATGCGGTACAATGCTTTCTCAATATCCCCCGAAAAATATATACACCATAAAAAAAAAAATAAAATAAAAAAAAACAGCGGGAAAAGACGAGAATTTAGCCACCAGCAGTGTCTGCAATTGCGCCTCCGCAGGCTGCGCCTATAAGACACAAGTACACTCGGTTAGGGTTAGCAGGGACGCCGATGAGAGACTAGCCTCAAGCCCAGTGAGTGGGCTCGAAACAGGTTCTCTTGTCCCTGGGGGCGAGTGTTTCTTGGGCAGGTGTATAATAAAATCCCGCCAGGAAACGAAAAGAAAAAAAAACAAAAAAAAACTCGATTTTATTAAAAAGAAACCCAGTGAGTATAGGGGTATTATCTAAAACTTCCCTCTACATATCTTTGAGCACTTCACGTTTTCCAACATTTAAGTTTGCGTCACCCGCGAACAAAACAGCGGCCATTTTGTTCGGGTGCCGGAGGACGGCCTCTGCGCAAACGGGGCGAAGAAGCGGCGCTCGACGCTTGCCTGGGATTCGAAGTTTGGGAGGTTCTGGAGCTCCTTCTGGAAAGCCACAATGTCGGCCTCGCTGGTCGTCTGCAGAGAGCTGCTGTTCTGGTCCTGAGTTGTGGCGACCACCTTGCTCACGCGCTTCTTGAGACTCGAGAACTTGAAGGCCCTCCGACCGGCCGGAGAAGAGTGCTCCGGGGAGAGCGACGGCCCTGCCACGTTCTCGGGTGGCACCACCGTCACCTGAACACGAAAAGACGTGCCGTTTTTCAAGTTCCCGGTAAGGTGCGGCGTCTGGCGCGTTTCCAGAGCTACGAAACGCTCTTTACATTTCGCGAAATGGTGTGTCGAAGGATCAAGCGGACAAGAAAAGCTCTACTCGGTTCCACTCGATATTCGACAGCAGACGAACCTACGGACCGGATGGAGGCAATCGAGAAGCGGGCAAAGTGCATCATCATGTCGCTCGTCGCCTTTGTCTCCCCCCCCCCCCCCCCCTCCCCCCTTGAAAAATTAATTTCATGGCCTCTTTTGGCGTTTTTTAACCGAAGAAATAAAATATGCATCCATGGCCGAACGCTCATTCTCCGTCATGTAGCGCTATAGAGGTCCGAACGAAATGCCAAAGTTTCAACACGAACCGATATCTCGTTCAAAAGTGATACGAGGGATTTTCTGAAAAGTTCGACGGGAAAATGGGGAGTTAATTGTCGCTCGTTTTCGGTTACCGGCGCCATAAAGCTCCGTATATTCGAGAGCTCCGCCAACCACCCTTTTCCCATTGAAACAAAAAAAAAAAAAAAAAAAAAAATCACACATAAAAGTTGGGCGGAGAATGAGCGCTCGGCCACGGATATTTTATTTCTGCAAGTAAAAAAAAAAAAAAAAAAAAAAAAAAAAAAAAACATGAATTTTTTTTGGAGGGGGGGGGGGCACTAAGTATAAGCGCTTTACGAACGAACCAAAGCCTTCACCTTAAAGCACGCCGAGGGCCAATCACCGCACTCTAAAGGCGTTTCAAATCACATGGGTGAGCTCCCTTCTACGGAGAAAACTCGACGAATGACAGAATAGAAGACTCTGCGCTGTGCGTCACTGAGAATGACGCTTCACCGTGCCCAGTACGCAGACTGTTATATCGAAACATATTTTACAGCGCTGTTGTAGGACGTGGGGTGTCCGTTGTCGATATTTTCGAATGCTCGGAAAAGATCGGTCCCGCCGAGGTGCTCTAAGATCCCGGGTCCGCTGCGTGGGAATCGGCCACGTTACCACAGAGTTATACCTGAGCTTTGACCAACCCGCTTTACATATATATATACGGCATTTGTAGAGCACACGTGAATATGAGGTTCGTGTAGTGCCCGCTATGCGACCACAGTCGCTGCGACGTCGCGACAGAAAATTATTTGTAAGTCTCAATAAATAACAAATTTAATCGGAGTTAATTGTTAAAAATAATAGCTTCGGCTAGGTGGAGCAATTCTCCGCCCGATTAAAAGGTTCAGCCAGAGTCGTGTATAGAGAGAGAGAGTTCAGTGGGAGGAGCGGGCAGAGCCGGGCCGTGCACCAGATGCAGAAAGAGTGCTTGACATGCTCTCTTGGACAACCAGAAGCCAAAAAGAAACCCCTAGCGGTGGTAGCGAGAAACAGTTCTGATCATAGGTATATGGTTTTAGTAAGCGCGTAAGAGTTAAAAGTAGTAACTCTTCATGGTGGAAAATAGGTTGCACGTGATGTTTCGATTATAACCATGCAGAAAGATGTAAGAAACGAATGTGGCCGCTGGACCTCTGTTTTGCTCAGACAGAGTGTGACCGCTCGGACTGCAGATTCCCGGTCCTCGGCGCCTGGGGTAGGGATTATTTTTAAAAAAAAGAAACATTCTTAGGTAGCGTTGACGTGTCACGTTGGCATGACGTGCAAAAATCAAACAAAAAACAAAACAACAACAGAAAATCTTCTGTGTCAGTTCATTCGTGGTTATTAACGTAATTTTTCTTACATAAGCACGCGAATTCTAGTACTCCTTTTCATATACAGTCCAGAGGCACAATAAATAGTTCCTGTAGAGATAAAGATTTCTGGATATTTTTTTAAAATATTTTTATACTGAATTATTTTTTTCGTACATGTGTTTGAGAAACTGGGTTCAGAACTGTTAGCTCCTACATGTAAAGGAAACATTGGGGTCTTATGTCGCAAAGGCAGCACCGCCCATGAGCGATGCCCAGGACATTTCCTAAGGCAGGAAAAAAAAAACAATTTCCGCGATGCGAGAGTGCCACAGAAATTGTCGCATTTAGGCCGCCGGCAGTTTAAACAGGGTCACTGACACTCTCATCTACTCCGGGCGTGGCGAGTTCCGCAGTCAATCGGCTTACGGCCTTAGCGGATAAGAGCGCTTAAGAACAAATCACAAAAATAAAGGAAGAAAAAAAATCGTGAAAATAATTAGCCATGCCCTGGGCTTCTAGGCTCCCAGTGACTCTCAGCACCAGACGACAGCAAGCGAGTGCAGAGAGGCCGCCATTAAACGGGGACTGGACCTGCTTTTCCGGAGGCCGAACGGAGTCCCTCCGCTCCTCGGCGGACGTGGAGGTGGCCCTGGCAGGGCTCGAGCAGTTGATGGTGAGCGTGACTCTCCGTCGGACGCGCAGCGAGTCCTCGTTGCCGGCCGACGAGCCCGCGCGACTGCGGTTCTCCGAGGCGATGCTGGTGCGGGACGGAGCTCCCCGGCGGATGTGCATAGTGCCCAGGAACCGGTGCTGGAGCAGCCGCACCAAGATCACCGGCGGCACCACCGCGTGAAGCGCCTCCAGGTAGAAGGCGGCGCTGCTCATGTTCGCCGTGTTCGGGTAGGGACCTGTCGGCCGGGGGAAACGCGCTCTCACCTGAGCAGCTGCTCAAACTAATGTTGAAAGCACCTTGAAAAAAGATCGCGCGAGGAAGGACTTCGAAAGGACAGCAGACGACCCATCCTGCTGTACTTTTGATATCTGTCCCGTGCTGCCAACAAGCTCGCTTCTTCGTTTAAAAATGATGAGTTACCACCGGTGGCCACCTTCCCAGGTCTGGTAATCACCGTGACTCGGACGCACAGCTCGTAGTTTTGCAGTTGCGTAAGCTTAACATTTCTGACTCGCGCGAGCCTTGGTTTTTGTTTTTGTGCTGAGAAAGAAACGGATGAAAAAAGTACGTAATTATTTTAGCCCTAATAGGGGACCGTGGAAGCAGGCGACACTAAAAATTAAAAATTACTCATAATTAAATTACCTCATAAGGTAAGAAAGCGTAAACCGTTTGAACATTGCCCTTAAGTACAATGGGTTACGAGTAGCGCTTAAGACCCCACGAAAAACAGCATCGGCCTCATTGCTAGGGCATTTAACACCACGAGCTCGCGCGCTCAGAAAATAAGTTTTTTTTTATATTTTTTATAAAACTAATGCGCAAATAGAACGCTTGCAATTTTTTGAAGGAGGAACGGACATGACGACGCTGAACATGCGGGACACCCAGGGTGTCACATGCTACTTTTTGTCAGTGTTCCAGCAGAGATCGTGTTTGAGGCTAAAATCCTAATTGGGCCTCATAAGGACCGCGCAACAATGCAGAGTTTGAATGTTACCAACTTTATACAGGCATACCGATACTTTGGGGACGCACGCATAGTCGTGGGGATCACCTCAAGGTAACAATAGCCAATGCGGCTCCTGGATTGGAGACGAGCACTGCGTGAGCACTCCACTTGGAGCTCGGCTACAATCAATGCTTTGGCGGGAATTCGAGTTGGGGCTCGCGTCCCATCGCATCGGTGATGGAGATAACCGAACTCTACCAATTTTAAGAGAATATCACATCCCTTTGCACTGCCCACAACCCTACCCACAACAATGTGGGTAGGGCTCGCGGCGCTCTTTTTAAGCGCAATTTTTATATCAGCGAAAAAAAAAAACAAAAAAAAAAAAGCCAAAATTGTGTGAATTAAAAAAAGAAAAAACATTACCTTTTCACAAATGTATTAAATTGGTCTGGTTTATAATAATAATTACCGTCAATGCTGCAATTCAAACTTGACCCCTAAAATAAATAATTAAAAGTTAATGAAAAGTTTAGGTAATTAGCCAGCTTACCATGACGATTATACACACATCTCATCTTTGCCGAGTCTGATAAATGCATGGCGAATACTGCCCTCGTCGAACTATCACCCCCTTTTTATTTCAAATGTGTTCATAATAAAATCAAACACACTGTATATAAGTACGGGGCGAAATAGCAAAATTAAAATTTCGGGTTTTTCTAGGTCGTTTTTACTTGCTCGATTCGTTTTGTGATTTTAATCTAATTACCACAACGTGATATTTTGTATGCTTGCAATGACGGTTTTGTTTAACATTATCTTGCGCGAGAACTCAAAGCATTTTTAGTCGAGTTTGCACTCAGTTTCCACAGTGCGTAAACATATAAAATGTGGGAGTATTTAATACTATGATTAAAGTCGGAACAAAAATTATTCTTGATAAACAAAAATAAAGTAATATCATAGGAAGTAGCCAGCTAACAAAATATTTTCGGTCTAGTTTCTATAGATGATAATCTTACATCAAGAAGGAAGGCACTTATTTTTTTATACATAATTGGATTGAACAACTTCAATATTATAATCGTCAAGGTTTATGCCCACCTTGCTTACTATCATTACCCGAAGAAGGAAATAGCGTGGCGGTTAATCTAGAGGTAGAACGAGTTAAAAATGTTAAAAAAGTACAAGAACGAATTATTAATGGTAAATTACGAGATTTTTTTAAATGAAATTCAGATGTTTCTATGTATGTGGGTGTGCGTTTTTTTATCGGATTATTTAATATTTATGAAGCTTCCGGTGTGTTAAAGATATGCTGAACCGAAAATAGAATTTTAAAAAAACAACGCAGAATCGATAGGCGGGACGCTACAAATCCCAAAACGTCACTCATAAAGCGGTATCTCCAACGGATCGTCGTATTTTTGTAAAAGTAGAGCGCGCTCGCACAAGGCCGAAAAGACGCGCGACCTCGCGATTCTCATTTCCTCCTCTTTTCGCTTTGTCTGCGCGAGGGCGCGGAGAGGAAAGGAAGCGAGGCCATTTCTCCTCCTTCTCAACTCTTTTGCGATAAGATGACGCCAACATTCTCCCTCATTCACTCCTTTATTTCCCAGAAATCCGACATTTCGCTCGAGATATGGTATGTGAGTGCTTTTTCGTGGTTTATGGCGCCCTATTGAACACTTCTGCAAGCTTATTTTGTAAAATCCGAATTTCGGTTCAGCATACCTTTAAGGAGCAGGTCGCTAACAAAGGACTTGGCTGCTGACGATTTTGATGTGATGCGTGGAAAAGGAACAATTCATTCGAAATGAATTGCGAAAAACGAATTTTTAAATATAAACTCGTGCGCTATGTTTTTTTTAAATTTTTTTTTTTACAAGTTTTGTTTTGTAAATAACACTACATTAAACTTACATTTTAACAGCGAAGCTAAATTTCAGTGACACAAGATCAAAGTTCAAAACCACAGGCGGGGGTTTCTCCACAAAGGGAGTCTGCTTGCGGCAAAGCCTGCTTTCCGTAAGAACTGTCAAGTTGCCTATGCCACTTGCATCCATCCACACAGCGACTCGTCTTTTATGTCATGACACCAAAGCGGTCACACCCACTGCGCAGACGCTTCGATCTTAGTTTGAAAAGCAAGCTTGTGCGCATGTCCAGTACCCAGATATTTCGCAGGTAAACTCGATTTGTTTATAGTCGTGAGGAGTAATAATCATACCTAGTGTCTTTACCCGCGACTGAGGTTTTACTACAGGACGATACAAGCACACAGAAGACCCAAGACTTCTGTGTTTTTGTGATACTTCTATGTATTCGCTGTGTTTATGTTGTCCTGTAGTGAAACCCTCATATAAAGATCCTGGTATAAAAATACGAGGATATATATATATATTTTTTAAACAATGACTTGTTGCATACGAAACTTACTACCTTACAATTGTCCAGCCTTAAAAAAGAATTCTTATATGTTACGATTACAATGACCAGAAACACCTTCCGATTCGCGTACATGAAGCTGGGCCTCCATGCAGTAAGTGACTATGAAACGCAGCTCGTGAGTACGACACTGCGGCTGACCGACCCGCTAAAATGCAGAACATACTCGAACCGGGACATTTTCCAAATTAAAAAAAAAGAAAAAGAAATAAAAATCTTGTGGTCCGCCCACAGTGTCGATATGCACTAGCTGTTAAGCTCATGCTCAGAGTAACTGACCATTGTCTGCGAAGTGGTAAAGGCGTGGCTGAGGTTGGCCACAACCTGCGTATCTTAAAAAAGTTGCAAAATCGACCCGGCCACCTTAGATTAGCAGGTTTACTTCGTCAAGAAATGAAATTTTGTAATTCTAGAGTGTTTACTAAATTTCCTTGTGCTCACAAAAGTCATAAATTACTCCGTGAAAAATTCTTTCCGGCTAAAAATTTGATTTGACATATCCTTTTCCCTTTGGGATATTGACTCGTTATTTTTCTTTCCTTCCCGGCATTATACTCAACAACCCACAGAAACTGTAGGTGCCGCCAACATCCTCGCGAGTTATTTTTAGGTGTTTGTTAAAACACACAATCTAAAACAAATATATTGCGCTTTTTTTTTTTTTCATTCGATGCGCAGAAGTGTCGTTGGGTTAACATCCATGCATTCTCCGACATTTATGTTTGTACTGTACGCACTTTGAGGGAATTTTAATGGACACAAATGGGAGCCAAGGACTAGCCCCTAGCGAACCTTTGGCTTTGGTTTGACTGGTGCGACGCTCCTCAGAAGGCGCAGCGTGCCTCAATACCGTTAGAACAACCCGAGGTTCTCCGAGGCCAGCGCGCCATCTCGCGTAAAGAGCTCCAGTTAAAGTATCCAAAAAAGCGGGCATCGATTTTTCCCTCAGGGCACCTGAGCGAGCCTCTCCATCGAACGACGTCGGTCGTTATACGGTAACCGGCGGAGTATGTGCCGTCCGCTTGTTCAAAGCTCTTTCCATTGTAGCCCCACGAGCAACCTCTTAAGAAAGTCTTACAACTTGAGTTTACTGCCGCAGTGAGAGGCGCCACAACAGGACCGCGCTATGCGTCTTCAGCCAGTTTGTTGTCGTTCGAGGCAAGCGACGAAGTAAGGGCCGATGAAGGTGGCAAAACATTTCGATAGAAAGAAGAGATGATCTGTTTGTGCGTCGTTGTTGTTTCCAAAACTGGTGAAGATGTTAATTTCTGTAGGATACGAAAGTACCAAGTAACCTCGATGCAAACTGGGCCTTAACCACACGGTTATTGCTTTGCAAAGTTATTATTTGACAACAGTGAGCCAGAATAAACGTTAAAGGCCAATTCCAGAGCGAAGAATGACGTTTAAAACCTCATAGTGCGTTTTATTCTCTTTCTTATTTTCAGTACTGCGTGTGATTGTTAAACACGTGCCAATACTCACTGATGGGACTTAGGCAGAAGTCCAGCTCGGAGCCCTCTTCCTCCGCTCCTACATCCGAGGAACATAGAGTCCTCTGCAAAAGGAGAAAAACAAAGTGGGGGAAGTGGCCGAAGACGCACCCACCATCTCCTTAAAATTCCGCTGTTCCTAATGGCCCCAATAAAAACATTTCGAGTTTTCCCAGTTTGTAAGACCCAGTCGTTTCACAGCGACACATTTTCTTAAGAAAGAAACAATTGCATCGTTCCAAAGCCCTGCGTCGGTGGCGGCCACTGCTTTATTAAGACAGCACCATTAACCCAACAGTCGCGACTACCACAACGCAGGTAGTGGTAGTCGGCCATAGTGGACCCTCGCAATGATACAGCACATAAAACTTTCAGGTCGTGCGGTAGCGCGCACCTAAACGGCCGCCGTCCTCACCTCGCGCCCGGGAATGGCCCCCGCGGCACGTACGGTCGCTGGGACTAAGTCCTGGGACGCTATTTGGACCGCCCACGCTCCCGGTCGCCATCAGGGAGAGCAAAAAGAGGCTCGTGGCGTCAAAGCGTCGGAGCAAACGGTACAAAGCCGTAATTAGCGAGGTTTGCCTGTCCTCGCCGAGAAGTACTGCTCCATAATCACAGAGCGCATGCGCGCCTTTTTATGCCCCCATGGCCGCCGCGCAACAACGAGCGGTCGCCCACGTGTGCCATATATCTCTCGCGTTATTACGGAGCTCATTAATGCCGCTGCTTCGTCACGGACCTCACTTATTTACCTTTTTAGTCAGCTTTTTTGTTGTTGTTATATTTCAAGAAGGAGCGAGCTTAGAACGCTATGCCAAGCAAAAGTAGACGCGAGCTCAAGCAGCAAGTTGTTTTTCTAAACTAAAAAAAAAAAAAAGTACAAACAGAAGAGGGCGCGAGGGAAAAGAAGACAGGAAGAGGTTAAGAAAGCGAGAGAACATAAGCGCGTAATATGGAAGCTCGCTAGCGGTTACGCAGGACACCGGAGCGCCCGCATTTTTCTTTTTCTTTTTTCGGCGCCACTTTCTTGGTGGGTTTCCCCCCACGCGACAATGCCTTCCAAGCCCGCGGAGACCCTAACTGCGCCCAGAAATGAGGCTTCCGCCACCCCGCGGATCTCGCGATGACTCGTTCAGCGCGCTCGACGGAATGCACGCTCAGACCCCTCCCAAGGACACTCTGGGTTTAGACGCAGCCTTTTTTCGTTCGCTCGCTTTGCCGTTGCTTATGTATGCTATGGTTGTATTTGTGTTTTGATTATTTTTCTTTTTCGTTATGAGAACTGAATGAGTGGTCGCGCAAAGGCAAGGTCATGCTTTCAGGTTAATTTATCGTTTATCTTTTTAGGGAGTATCCGCAAATAATAACACTTCGGGCCCGGGAGCATGTGAGAGACCGTGCTGTGCGAATTTATACCCTGCCTCGATAATTTTAGGCTTTGACGCTATTTTTTACTATTTCCTTTAGATTTCCTTTATAATGTACCGTCAAACTAAGGTACTTTTTAAGCATATTTTTAACCGCTGTTGTAGTTGTTTTTTAAACTGATGTAGCTCGAGGAAGACACCCCACTGAGGCCCCAAATAACGTTATGTTAGCGCTAGGCGCACACCTTTAGCAATAATCTTCTCAATATAAGTAAGGTCTCGTAACAAATAAATAAATACATCAATAACTCAAACTTTACACCTAAAGGCCAAACACCCCGAAAACCAAAGTTCCAAACTGTGCTTCACATCTGAGAGCATATAATAACTGACGTTCTTGCGAAGCTACGGCCCGTGAGCTCCGTCGACAAACCAACCCCATTATCTAAAACGTGATGCACTGACTTGAGCTGAGGCGCCTCCATGGTGCCGCAGCGCACGTGCGCCATGTAATCGGACGCTATTCTCCAATGACGTCTGACGCGTTCACAAGACTTGTGACGCCGCAGGCGGTCTTGGAATTTTTGCTATTAAGATATACGAGGGGTTCTGAATCTATTATCTACCTGAGGAGGAAAGAAAAAGTTTTCCAAACAAATGTGTTCTATTTTTCAATAACCTTGTGATAGCTCTGTCAACTCCATCCCTTTTTTCTGCAATAAATTTAACCCCCTCCCCTGAAAAAAAAAATCATGATCTTCAAATTAGAATGTCACAACACACTCTAAAAAAAAAAAAAAAAAAAAAAAAAAAAAAATTTGTAAGTATACTTTTTCGCACAACACTCGAAGAGCCAATCACCTCAACTTACGGAGGCAGCTCAGCGAATGACAGTGCCGAAACCTATGTTTAGACGAAAAAAAAAACAGTCAGAGTTATAAAATTAAGCAATGTATAACGTCACGCTTGTATTGCTTAGTGTCACAACTCAGATTGCGTTTTTTGGCCTAAACATATGTTTCGGCATCGCCATTCGCTGAGCTGCCTCCGTAAGTTGCGGTGATTGGCTCTCCAAGTGTTGTGCAAGAAAGTAGACGCACGGGCTTTTCTTAGAGTGCAACCTTGACGTCTTCATCACCGGAGAATCGCTCTGCACTGAGAGAGCTATTCGAAATTTGGAACACGACATCATCTGAGGAAGCCAGGTCAGCACTGTATGGTGGATGATTTAGCTGCTCGAATCCACATTGACTGACCTAACTCGTGAACCGGCGCTTGTCGTGAAGAAGGAGTACGCCGGCCATGAGTTTTCCTCGTCTTTTCTTCGTTACTTACTCCCGTAAAGCGATTATTGCTTTGGCGTACGTCTCCACGGTTACGATTGTCTTGTGTGGTATAAACTCCAGAAGCAAAAGTCCTTCAACATCCTCGAGAGCAGTAACCAGGACTTTGCCTGCACATTTTTCTGTCTTGAAGTCTCGTGGGGTGGGGGGATGATTCGTGTTTACACTGCATTAACTCCGTTTTGAACTCAGGATCTTTGTGATAGACCCAAGTCTTATCTTCAGTCCTCAGGTAGGCACATTATTAAACACCCCCCGTAGTAGATGGTATCTTACCATATACAAGTTTTATCTCTTTGCACCATAAAAATGTCCCACTAAAATGGCAATTGGTTCCGGTTTCAGGGTGGTCATCTTGAATGGCTTAAAAACGGTTATTAAACGAAATCTAAGTACGCATAACCAAATTTAGCTTTGCTACCATATTTCATATGTTCTTGGGGATTCTAGAAGAAGCTAATATAGTCATACGTTAACTATTTATTTAGATAATTAATTAGCAAATGTTGCCACGGGCTTTCCACTTTCTCATATAACACTTAAACTAGGAAGGCGAAGTTTTGACATAGTATACTAAGTAATATAATAAAGAAAAGCACTACAAGAGTTTTTGTTGAAAATGTTGGTCCGAAGTGTGTTTCTTTTTTTTAAATACCACGACACATTTTATTTCTTTAAAAAACAAAACAATAAAATCTCTAAAATATATTTCGAACAGCGTTCGTCAGCTTGTTCATTCAAACATCAAGAACGCAGTGTAAACAATCGCGCTCTTAACACTTGTCGTCGTCCTTGGCGCTTCAGTGTCTATTATGTATAACCAACCCACTCAGCAAATCATTTTGTAAGAATGAGTACCCCATGGCAATGTTTACTCCTTAGTTTCCCAGTTAGATAATTCACCTAGGATTATAATGGCTTTCCCGAGAATCCGCAGACATACAAAGAATACGTTAGAATAGCTACTTTTGAGTACCGTACGTATTTTTACACTTAGCTTAATAAATTATAAACCGCTTTGTAGCCATGCAAAATTACCGCCGTGGAACAGGAGCCTCCAGTCTATTAAGCAAGAAAAATAGACTTAACGCGCCGGTACTGGTGGTGTCCTATACATAAGCAGAGAGCGAGAGATAACTATATTTAACCATTCCGGTCGCGATGAGCGAATATGGCTTCTTTGTGCGATGCTTTATGCGTTCGGAGTCCGTGTTGAGAGTTCACATTTGAACCTGACATAAGATAATGCAGCGAAAGTATTCTGCTACAGCTGTCGAAAGTGCAAAACATAGAGCAGCGGGAGTACTGCCTCACAAATAATTTGTTAACCGACGAAATTCAATGTCCGAGACAAACAGAACATTTTCAACTGTACACTGCGTCGTTCCAAGCCCCAAATTTACCTCCCTGAAAGGGGCCATGAAACGAATTTTGGGCTGGAATAAATGATTTTAAATTGGGACTTAACTAATATATATATATAAGATGGTCAAAGGCTGGTCCTCACCTCTACCGTCTTGAGGAGTTCTAGTGCGAAGGCTTCGACAGTCATGCCGAGCAGCTTGTGGTCCGCGTCGTACACGGCGTAGGGTGGAAGAGAGGTTTCCACGATGTAGCTGTCTTCGAGGCTGTCCAACATGGGCGTCGTTGGGACTGCTTGCTCGTCTGATGAAAAATAAAGAACGGCCACGGCACCTTAAGTTCCCTCAAAAACACATGTGCCACAACGGCGCACATAAAAAAAAAGGAAATTGCGTGTGTACTTTCTTGCAAAGCCATGGGAGAGCCGACGACTGCGAAGCTGGGGCTGACAGTAACGAATGCCCAGTAAACATTTTCCCGATTCCGGGTTTCGTACAACAATTGATATCCTCAGGCCGTGGTCACGCCGCTAATACATTCTCCAAAAGACGAACTGTCTGCAGAAATGTTCAAAACATGCATAAACATGCTTGGAACAGATTTGAGAAGTCCGCAGATTCTTCTGTCATCATGTCCGCAGCGGTTTCGTTTGTACGTTGTATGAGCAGTGTGACTGCATTCTTCTCGCGACGCAACGCTCAAATTCCACCAGCTCCTTTGTTATAGCGAGCATGTTAGGGTTTTAATGCCCCCGCTGAGTTTTGTTCTGCAAAAATTGACAAAGAACTCGTGCTAGATTCACGATTCAGAGCTTGGAGCTTGGACACAGAGCGAAAAAGAAGGTTTGGTCAGAGAAATAAGGAGGGAGGGCTCTCTTTACACCTTCGTACCTTTTTTTCCATGCCAAATTTTTTCCCACCACTAATTTCGAACAGCGTTACGTTTGATCACCGGATCATCAAACGCGCGAAAACAAAGTTTAGATCACAAGATGCAAAGTGTTATAGATAACTGCAACCGTGAGCTTTGAGCGCTAAATTCAAAGGAACTAAAACTGTAACTTCACTGTTCACGTGACAGTTAATTTATAATGAAAGGAAACGGCGCTGCAGCGAGAGTATCAGAAGAGACGCTGTATAGGAGTGTTTCCCCGCGTTATTCTCGGCTGCAGCACTTCATTAAAAAGCTAACGGAACGCCGTGGGTTAGCCAGCCGCTAATTTGGACCGGGTCATCGATTAATGCAGTCCCGCTCGTCTTGTATTCAATTAAGGTTGGGTTTCTAAACAATGTGTTCCCAGGCGAATCCCTTCGGAGTGTGGATCCTTTTGAATAACGAGCTTTCCCGCAAGTAAAGCAAAAATTACAATAGTGAAATTCCCTTTAATTTTATTGTTCGTTAGCACGTTTGAATAACTTCCGAAAATTTGGGACTGGGTGTGGAGACAATGGTCGACTTTATGCCCCCAAACTTTTATTAAATGGTGCGTACGTTATTGTGGACGATGTGCAGGGTGATAAAATTACTTTTTTTTTTGCTGCAGTCACACACGACAATAGATGGTGCCGCGCCGTGTTGTTTAATCGATCCGGAAACGGGTTATAACTTAGCGTGTATGCGAGAGTGCTGACGGGTGAAGTACTGAAGGGGTTCCACACTAAAACCTTTCGTACCCATAGGGGTGTAATCAAGATATCCCAGGGATAGCAAACACACCAACGGTGTTACAGTAACACCTTTAGACGCTGGTTAACACCCTAAAATAGGCTGCCAGAGATCTTAGCCGCAGCATTATGGGAACATTATTTTAGGAGCAACACGTTTACAAGCAGCAAACACAACACAGTTCTCACAAGCGCATGAACAGCAAATAGACGCAATCAATCGCGCACGACATGAGAATCACAAACCTGTTGACTATTCCGCTGCCTTATATATTGGACAATTCAAAGACACACATTCGCAGCTGACCGCCTCCGTAAATACGAGGGTTATAGGTACGTTGCTTCCTCGTAGTCAATGTTTCACGTAGAGCATACTATTTCTAAGTTCAAGAAATGTATGTCCAAATAAAAAGCAATAATACGGGTCATGATTATTCGACATATTCACTATAGCAAGCTGCTTGAAGCGGGTGTCAGTGTAGCAAACACCCTTAAAAGATGAAGGGCGTTCTCACTTGATTGTAGCACCCTTTCCACAGCCTTCTTATGCCCTTCAGAACGAGGGCTGTTCCATGCAACAGCGCGCTATTTTACAGATAGAAAAAGTGTATTACTTAAAATAAATGTGTGAAAAGGGTGTAGCCATTGGTGTAAGTCACTGAAATACCCGTTTTACACCCTTAAGAGTGTAAAAGTCCTTTGTGCGTAACGTCTTAATTCTATTAGGTGTCTTCGCTGTCCAGTACAAACCCTCGAGGTCGGACGACTCCCCGACTTGAAGGTGCAGGCGAATGCATCGAAAGGAGGCTTGTTGCTGACGTTGCGTGACTGCGTGACAGGGTTGGCGATTCGGTCATGCGTCCTTTTTGTAGACTGCAGTGATCGAATTTGGTGTAGCAAAAATCAGCGATATTCAGAATATTCAAAGCAAAACGCACGCTTTGTGTCTCCCTGATGTAGTGATGTAAATCACTCATACGTCTATCGATCAATTGGAAGGGATGACGGAACCACCGACTTCGTCGGCGAGCTCAAAATATACTTGCTATGTTGGCTTGTGAATATTCTGCTCCGATACGTATTCTGATCAAAATGTTCAGTGTATAGCGAACAAGATGTTAAAAGACGCAGGCTTCAAGCATTTCCTTACTGCATGCGGCACCTTGTATCGAATGCACCAGAAGAATGTAGCTGAAACAAAATATAAGATACGAATGGTTATAAAAACGAATACATCAAATGCGCCAAGCCGACAGCCGGAAGGAATAAGACTCTTCAATCCACGTTAGGGACAAAAATCATAGATGACGCACAAAACAAACCATATGCGGGAGTGTAGGACTGCTCGTGAAAATATACTGTGATGAAGTATTTACATAAGTTTTCGCTTACAGGTGAATTACAAATGGCAAAGATGAAAGAAGCTACCACAGTGCCTTTCGTGCGGAGATGTTGTGAGCGAAATATATTCAGGTAGATTCAATGGAGCGTGTTTCTTCCTTCACTCGAACACTGTTCGAAGCCTAAAAATTAAATCTCTCTTCGAAAAATAAAATAAAAAATAATACCTGTGAGGTTTATTTTCTTCTCTCCCCCCACAACGAAAGAACCCCTGCGATTAAGAGGAACAGCTTGGCAAACAAACTCAAAACTCAACATTTTGACCAACTGTGACCAAACTTTGTGATAGTGAGAATTATGTTTCGCACTTTTGCGTCATGCTGGGGAGTTTAAAATTAATAATTAATTTATTCTGAAAATGTCAGCAAGTGTCGACGTTAAAGTTTATATATTTAAATTATTCGACCTTATACTCAGGTCACAGGTAAGTACAGCCTACATACATATATATTTAAAAAAATCAATCAGCGTCAACTTTTGTGTGCCACGGTTAATACAATGAATTCTTATAAGATGTGTTTTTAAGGTACGCTAGATCAACAATAATAGTCTCTGGGGAAGGGGAACAAGGGGGACAAAGGGCAAACACAAATCTCCAAACAGAACTATCGGTGACTGGTGCGCGATCGAACAAATTCGCCTGGTCCTGGTATCGAATCAGGGACCTCTCCATTTCCAGTGGAGCTCTCTACCAACTGAGTAAATCAGGAGTTAGACGTCAGTAAAGAAAACGGTTTTTAACAGCTGCCACTAGTCTAACACCAAAATGCAGGCCGTTCATTTTTGTTGGTGTTAAACTGGTGGCAGCTGTTAAAATCCGTTTGCGCTACTGAGGTCTAACTCCTGGTTGGCTCAGTTGGTAGAGCACTTCACTGGAAATAAATAGGTGCCCGGTTCAATACCAGGAGCAGGCGGATTTTTTCAGTCGCGCACCCCTCACCTGTAACTGTGTTCGGAGATATGTGTTTGTTCTTTGTCCCCCTTGTTCCCCTTCTCCAGGATTATTATCGCTATTCTTGTCCAGCACGCCTGCACCTTTGCATTATTTGCATTATCATAGTACACTAGATGTTCAGCAGGTGGCAGTGTGCTGTTGCAGATTGAAGCAGACAGCAACCAGTCTAATGGTTCGCCCTCTTTCCGCACAAGCGTGGAAAAGGAAGTGGTAACACAGAATGTAATGTGCGTTGCTTCGCAGTGATGTCGTACAGATGAATTTGGTAGGGGTTTTATGCCTGGACGGCGCGCGAATATCGTCGTGCGTAGCTCTCCAAAAGAAAACCCTGCCGAAGCTATGTCTCGAACGGGAGAGGAAGGCGAAATTGGCGTCTCTTGCGGTCGCACACCCTAGCGTTGGTTCTGCTATTTTGCGACTCCCCGTTTGCTCTGACGCACGTGCCTCTTTTCTTACCTCTCACCTCCTGCAGACTCTCTCACCATATGCGCGGGTGCGCTCGCTCAACTCCTAGACCAACGGTCTCAAACTCATTCGAGTGTAAGGGCAGATAGCCCACACCCCGAAAGGTCAAGGGCCTGCTTGGGGGGGGGGGGGGATGTTTTGCTATTTTGTGACAAAAACTTAAACAAACAAACAGCGTTGCATTCCGTGTTGGAAAGCAGCCAACTGTCCCAGCCACAGTCTAGTGATTTCCTAGAGGAGCCTATGCTTTCTGCTTTTGCTAAGCTCACTGTTTTGCCATCCTTAGCTTTCATCTGAATATACGACTACTTTGGGCCCACCCTTGATATTATAAAATTTAAAACACCAACATACCGGCAGTTTGCAATGGAATGAGAGCGAGTCCACAGTCTTTGCCCTGTCGCACAATGGCTCGACAGGTACAAACAACATCTCTTCATACGGCAGTGTTTGCTTTCCTGACAATTTTTATAGCGGAATTATAAGAACATACCTGCGCTTTTTCTGGCGGCCAGAGTCCCGAGCTCATAGCTTTATATTTGCAGTTGTTCCTGCTTATTAGGAGTTGCCTTTTTGAGCAAAGAGCTCGCACTTGTAGCCTAGTAATGGTATTGCTGTTCCGGTTGATTTAAATAAGAAAGGGTTGAGAAGCAAATATTTTGCCAAAGCAATACTCGGCCCAAAAGAAAACAAAATACTGTAAAATGTAAAACAAGCTCTATGAGCAGAGCTTCTTTTCGATCTGAAATAAATCGACGATATAAAACTATTATTTATGGCACATGCAACACTCGAGGCATGGGAACGGCGGCTCGCAG